AAGCCTGACTGGGCTGACAGGAGACACCACCAACTTTCTCTGCCCTCCAAGTATTCTGTACAACAGCTGAAAATGGGATTTTTTTTTTTTGTTGAGCACCCTCAAAATCACAGCACCTGCAGAAATCAGGCACTCCTGAGCAAGCTCAGGGACTGCTGAGGCCTCAAATCCCAGGGCAGTTTTGGGGTCCTCACTCCAAGAAGAACATTGAGAGGCTGGAGCATGTCCAGAGAAGGGAATGGAGATGAGGAAGAGGAGCATCAGGAGAGGCTGAGGGAGCTGGGAAGGGGCTCAGCCTGGAGCAAAGGAGGCTCAGAGGGGACCTTGTGGCTCTGCACAGCTCCTGACAGGAGGGGACAGCCAGTCTTGCTCCAGGTAACAAGTGACAGGGTGAGAGGAAATGGCCTCAAGTTGCACCAAGTGAGGTTTAAATGGGATATTAGGAAAAATTCCTTCAAGGAGAAAGAGGTCAGGTGTTGGCACAGGCTGCCCAGGCAGTGGTGGAATCACCATCCCTGGAACTGCTCAAAAAAATGTGGATGTGGCACTTGGAGACAGGGGTCAGAGCTGAACATGGTGGTGCTGGATTCAGTATTAGAGGGATTTCCCAACCTTAACAATTCAAGATCACTTGAATTCACACCAGCCACGATATTCTGCCAACTTTCATCTGGGTGTTTGTTTGTGCAGCCAGAGGAGCCTGGCCCCAAGCTCAGATCTGAGAGGGGAATTGGCCCCCAGGAGATTGCTCAGCCCCTCCTGGGACAGAAGCTCTGCTCCTGCACAGCCCATCAGTTCCCAGAACTGCTTTTCTGAGCAGCTGACCTCTCACATTTCCCAGAATTACCCAGCATGGCTGGAATTTCATCCCTTCCCTCCCTGTGTGACCCTGGCTGATGACACTGCTCAGCACCAGCTCGGGCAGAAAAGCTGCAGCAACAACAGCACTGAGGCTGAGCGAGCTCCAAAACCACCAAATATTTGACTGCTGAGGGAACTCTGCAAGAAATTGAATTGTCAGGACTCAACTCACCCTCCTCAGCTTCATCTTCTTCATCCTCCTCACCATCCTCCTCCTCATCTTCCTCCTGGAGTGAAAACAAGAGGGTTTGTAGCAGAAACCACGATTTAATCCCAGCCCTGCTCCTCTCTGAAGCCTGAGGGTGGCAGGAGAAGCTCTGGATCTCCAAGAGCTCCTCACATGCCATGGATGGAGCTGCGTGGATCCATCACTCAGAGCCATGGAAGTGCCAGGCCAAGGCTGAACTGGAAACTCTCTGCAGTTTGTGACCCTCAGCAGCCCAGAGTGGATGGCAAAGCCCCCAGAGGCTCCTGTGACACCCAGGTCACCACACAAGGGACACACGTGTGACTGCTGACAGCCTCACCTCATCATCTACTCCATCCTCGTCCTCTTCACCTTCCAGATCATCATCTTCATCTTCCTCGTCATCAATGACTTCTTCATCCAAATCGTCTTCCTCCTCATCGTCCTCCTCTTCCTCACCTTCTAACAAACAGGGGGAGGGAGGGAAGTGCCCCAGTTCCCAAACCCAGGCACCCCTCACCCCTCAGTGCCACCCAGGAGTGTGATGGGGGAGGAAGAAGAGGTGAGGGACCCCCACATGCCCTCCTCCAGTTGCCAACCCCATAGGTGGAACCCACCCTAAAGTGCAAAAGGGGTCGTTACCAAGCAGAAAAACCCGGAGAAGAAAAAACCCCTCACCTTCCCCATTCTCATAATCATCTTCCAGTGCATCCCCATCTGCCTCAGGGTCTGAGTCAGGGGCTTCCTGCTCGTCAGCATCAAATCCATCCAGGTAGGTGAGCTGGGGCAGGAGGGCGAAGACGCTCTCGCGGTAGTTGATGAGCATCGTCACCTCACAGTTGAACAGGTCCAGACTGTGGAGGTTTGGCAACTTTTTCTGCAAAAATCAATTGGTTAAGGTTGTTTACAGAGCTGTCTGAAGATGAGAAAGGCAAGGCAGGGTGGTGGGGGCACTGCCCAGGTCCAGCACAGATGGTTCTGCCCCAAATGCTCCTCGGATGGAGAGGAGTCACTGCTCCTCTCATTGTGGACACAAGAAATTTCTGTCCAGCTTTTCTGTCCTGGCTTCCCTTTCTGGAACAAACTCTCTGTGTAACTGCACATCTTTCTTGCTTCTGAGCAGGCCCAGCAAGCTCAGGAGCAGCTGAGCTGGACTCATCCTGCTGAAGAGATCAGGCAGAGCTCAGGGAGAGCTGCAGCCCTGGCACAGCCCAGCTCAGGCCACCACAGCGGGCACCACGCCAAGGAAAGGAGGAGCAAAACAACCCCAAATTCCTTCTGGAGGGAATGGATGGGCAAAACAGCCAGTGAGACACATGCCCTGTGTCAGACCTGTCCCTCTCAGCATTGCTGGGGCAGCTCAGGTGGAGCCTCAGAGGCTTTTCCAGCCTCGCTGTGGAAATGGGAGCCTGCAGTGCTGGCACAGCAGAACCTTCAGGCTGATGGGACAGATGCCCTCAGTGCTGCCCAGTTCCCTCATGCCATGACACCCCAGGTGCCACCTACCTCCAACTGCCTCCGACCCTCTCCCGGTCCCTTCTCAGCTGGGCACTGAGCATCCACAGTTTTACTCATCCAGCCCCATTTCACGCTTCTTTTAGCAACTGGCTGCTGCTTTTCCAGACTGAGGAGCCATTAATTACTGGCCCAGCCTCAAACTGGGATCAAATCTGTTCCCATGAGAACCACGAAGTGCTGTTGGAACAGTTACCAAGACGTTGGATTCCTGCTGCACAGACCCAATCCCCAAAGGAAAATTCATCCCTGGCATTCCAGCACAGCCTCCACTCACCAAGGGCTCCAGGGTATTGATGTCTTTGATCTTGTTGCCACTTAGGTTCAAGTGTGTCAGGTTGGGAGTTTTCTCTGCTAGAACTTCAAGGCCACCAGAAATCCTATTATCACTCAGCTCCAGCTGAAGGGAGGGAACATCACATGGTCACCAAGTGTTTCAGCTCGTGACACAGGGAAGGAAATTGCACTGAGAGCTGCAATGAGCACCTAAATTTCAGCTCACAGAGCAGCAGGTCAAGTTTGCCCTTAAAAAGTCTTTTTTGCAGAGGCACAGCTCTGCCAGCCACCCCCATGCTAATAAGTGCTCAAAAATCCAAAATATTTATGGTGCCATGAAGCTTCTGACAGCAGCACAACAGAATAAAAGCAAGACAGGAAGAGCATTAAACACCTGAAGAGCTCAGGAGGGTTTTGCTGCATGTTAAAACCAACCCCTCTCACTTGCTCAGCATGCAAGGAGCAAAATTCAAGATATTTTCTGGCAAATACAGAAAGGGGGCAGCACAAGGCCAAGGGCTGCTGGGGATGGCAGCAGAGTCCTGACTCACCTTGCGGAGCTTGTTGAGTTTGGGGAGGTTGGACACGGACAGCAGGTTGATGTTGATCATGCTGAGGAACTCCAGGTTCTCAAAGTCTGAGGAGAGGCCGACCACCTTGCCATCCTCTGAGCGACAGTTGTCCAGCACCAGCTCCTTCACCTGCACAGGGACACCCAGAGCTGTCACCACCGTCCCCCCGGCCTCGAGGTGACACCACCAACACACCCAGAGCACAAGAGCACAGAGCTCTGGGCCTCCAGTTCCTCCTCATTTAAATTTAGAACCTTAAAACCAATTAACTTTTGGTGACAGTCCCTCACCGTGGTTGGGGTTTCACCCTCTAAGCACCAACACACTGCTGCTGTCCCCACCAAGCCCCCACATCCAGGGGTTTGGAACCACGAGGTCACATCCCAAAGCTCCCTGCACATCAATAAAGCTTTCAGAGTCAGCTTCAGGCTCTGCTAACGAGGGGCCAAACCAGGTCAGCTGGGTTTGTCACCTCCCACTGGGGTGCCAGGAACCCTGTCCCCACAGGAGTGACCTCCCTGGGACAGTGACAGTGAGGTGACACAGGTGCCTGGGCAGGGCTCAGCACATGAGCTCAGCCTCAGGCTGGTTACACAAGACCACTGATGGCACCAAACATCGTGCCCAGCATGGATTCCACATCCAGGAATCTCCAGGAATTCAGCACATGAAGGAATCAACCCCCCAGTGCCACCAGGACCACCAAGCACCAGCACACAACTGTCCTGGAGGGAAACACCCCTGTCCAGACACAGCCCCGGCTCTCACAAACCACTCCCAAAACCTGCTTTCACCCCACACATTCTTGACAGCAAGATGCAAAAATGAGCCTTGGCCAGAAGGCTCGTGGCGCTCTCCAAATCCCTCCTTTGCAGCACTCCCATTTTCCCTCTCCTGCTCACACCAGCCAGCTCCCAAAATCATTTTAAACATTCTGGGGCTGGGGCCATCTCTGCCACCTGCACAGCACAAGCTCACAATGAATTATCACCCCAAACTCCTCAAAGTGGCATCGCTGCTTGGGGGTTTGAGGTGAGGCTCTCAGAAGTTTTGGAGCAGAGTTTGTTTTGCTCCCCAGCATGTCAGAAAGCTGATGTGCTCCAGCCAAAGTGGGATTGTCACCGTGGTGGGGGTAAAGGTGGCAAAGGGCTGGTCTGGGTGGCTGCTGCTGGGAGGTGTGGACACAGAGGTGAGCCTGAACTCCAGCAGGTTATCATGGAATGGTTTGGGTTGGAGGGGACATCAAAGCCCATCCACAGCCATGGTAGGGACACCTTCCACCGTCCCAGGCTGCTCCAAGCCCTGTCCAGGGACTGGGCACTGCCAGGGATCCAGGGGCAGCCACAACAAAGCCGAACCCAGCCAAGCCCAGCTTTGCTCCAGGCCGGGCCCTTCTGATGTCCCGGGACACGCAGGGACAGCCAGCCCTGACCCCGCTGGCTCTGCAGCTCCTGCCGTCCCTCCATGGGCACCAGGCTCGCAGCTCCTCCTGCCCAGCCGCTCTGCTCTGCAAATCCCCCGGCCCTGCACGGAGCCGCTCTAATCCCCACCCAAAGCCCCGCTCGCCGCCCGTTCCCCCCCGTGCTCGGTGCCACGGCCACGCAGCTGCCACGACAACACCGAGTGTCCCCGGGGCCAGGGAGGGACCGGCACGGCCCGGCGGGGCGGACCGGGAAAAGGGGAGAGACGGGGAAAGGGGACGGGGAGAGCCGGGGGAAAGGGGAGATCCAGGGAATGCGGAGATCTGGGGAAAAGGGGAGATCCAGGGAACAGGGGATGGGGAGATCCACGGAAAAGGGGAACGGGAAGATCCAGGGAAAACAGAGCGGGGAGATCCGGGGAATAGGGAACGGGGAGATCCAGGGCAGAGAGCCGGCGAGAAGGGGAGATCCACGGAAAGGGGAACGGGGAAAACCGGGGAATAGGGAACCGGGAGATGCAGGAAAAAGGAGAGATCCAGGGGAAAGGGGAACGGGGAGATCCGGGGGAAAGAGAGATCTAGGAAAAAGAGAGATCCAGGGAAAGGGGAACGGGGACATCCAGGGAAAAGGGAGAGGGGAGATCCGGGGAAAAGAGACCGGGCAGATCCGGGGAAAAAGGGGCGAACAGGGATCGTGGAGACCCGGGGAAAAAGAGCGGGGAGATCCAGCGAAAAGTGAGGGGGGAGACCGAGGGGAAAAAAGAGATCAGGTGAGACCCGGGAAAAGGAAGATCCGGGAAGGGGCGGCCGGAGAAGAGGACCCGGGGATGAGGCGGCCCCGGGG